ACTGATCTGTCACAGCTGCATGGATAGCTCTTCGGCGTACGTCTGATGTCACAGGTCATACGTTTTGCCCTGGTGAATACAACACGAGACAGTTTTTTTTTTGTATTTCTCAAATAAAATATAAAAAAACAGATCAATTCTCAATCCATAAAATGGATAAAGGCCACCCTCACACCATTGTCGTTCATGGGTTGTGTATATTTGTTTTTTTCTTACCATACTTCACCATGCCGGTCAGTGCGGGTTGTTAAAGGGAGTGGAGGGTATAACCAGCTCCGATACCGCTTGATCCTGATGTCAGCCGTGGGTGTGAATCTCAATCTAGTCGCTGGGTTTGTAGTGCGGTGTGTGGACCGCTGTACCACCACTCCAACGGATGGATTTCTATCGTTTCTCCATGCAGGTGCATTTTTAAGACGCTCTCGAGTGAGACATTCCTACCGAGAGATGTATTCATGACGATGGCTGCTGAGCAAAGGCCCAAAATGCCAAGTGGCCAGCAACGCAATATACAATGGACATGTTAGATTCGAGTGGTCAGTGGTCAGTTGTAGGAAACAGAAAAGATAGGGCCAAGGAGTCAGCAGCACAAGGTCATTACACACAAAGTGCTTGCCACATATGAACCACAACACCATCACGGGAACTTCGGTCACCCTCGCCTGTGGCTTTTGGCGAGCCATCGAAAAAAATACGGTCACTGCCTCGCGTGCTTTCAGATACGCTTCTGCGGCTATCTGGAACGCTCTTCCCTCAGGTATTCGGAAGCCACTGGAGCTATGCGTTTTAAAATCTCGATTTAAAACATTTCTTTAGAACGGTTTTGTTAAGTTTGTTGTCCTTCCCCCGCACCTATTAGCGTGGTTCGCTATATACGGTGCAAAAGAAGTTCAACATACATACATACGTATGACTGGGAGGACGGATTTCCAGAATATAGGAGCAGCAACAGAGAAGGGGCACCTGCCCGCCCCCCAAAGGAGCGGAGGTTTAGTTGGGGCTTTGAGAGGCGAAACCTGCTCGCTGAAGCGTCCATTATTCACACACGTACTTTTTTGTTTCCCTCCTCGAGGATTATATAACTCGTGCATTATTCCATTTCACAGTCAGCAGTTGAGCTGTCGCTTGCTGAGCATATCAACATGACAGAGGCTCGTCTCGGGCATACGCCCACGTGAGAATAAGTGAATAAAATGAGATAATTTCATTCATGATGACTTATCTCTAAAGGGGGTGTTGTCAGCAGCAGTAATGAGAACACACTGTCCTTCAAGAAAGTGTTGGGTAAAAAAATATTTATATGTAGCCATGTAAATTATGTATCTTTTTTTTTTTTCCATTTGAGAACTTTTATACGCTGTTTATCAGTAACATGCAAGCGTTCCTTTATAAGCACGAACATTCCAGGCTCGCACTTTTCTGCTTATAAAGCCACATTGAAAGCTTTTCTGAATTATCCCATTAAGCATGACGAAACATATGCACGTGAGACAAATAATTTCACAAGTGTGTCTGGCTTTTAATGAATGCAATGAAGGTATTAAAACGATCACGTGCTCTAAATGAAAATGTAATCTAAATATGAATGTAATTAAAATAATTTCCATTCCTATTTGGCGATTTAACTTTTAGTAAAGCACAACTTTTAAAATAGGTGCCCCTCCTTCCAACATTTGTCACTCCACGCAATAAAATACATGGAAGTATACCTTGCCATAACCAATTGGCTGCACATCTGCCTGGAAGTGCATCTTTATCCAGCGGTAGTTCAAGTACACTCTGGACCGGTGTTGACTATCTGCGTCTCATCAGCAGCCATGCTTGCTTGAAAGGTGGCCACAAATTACCGAGTGTGTGGGAGCTAGCAGTGAATAATGGTCCGCTGGAATGCTTGGAAGCTACAATTTGATGTAAGCGCAGAACCGAATTAAATCAAGGCCATCTGTTACGGTGAATGTGGTGTACTGACTTCTGTGCCACACACATTCAATCTGTTTCCACAACGGTCCCTCCACTGCACTGGTGATCAGGAAGTTGGATTTGTCACTGCATCGTGCGGCGCTTTTGAGATGTGCTTCTGCGGCCATCTGGAACGTTCTTGCGATATCAGGAAGCCACTGGAGATATGCACTTGTAAACCTAGATTGGAAATCATTTCTTTAGAAGCTCTTTTTGTGTGTCAGTTTGTTGTCCCTCGCCCGCGCACCTAGCACGGGTTGGTTCCGTGCGGCGCGAAAGAAGTTCAGCATACGTTCAAATGTGTGTGTGTGTGTGCATTCATGTACACAGCTCCTAAGTCGCATATAATAATTCAAATGTATAAAGCGCCTTCCCTCCAAGGATCCCAATGTACAATGCATGAAAATGAGGAAACAAAAACAGAACCAGAGCAAACAAACGAAAGAGGGAAGGCCACGTTAAAGACACTTTAATACACTGTACACCCACATGCTTTCAAAACAGTTTTAATAATAGTAATCATCACCATCAGCCCCGATCTTTCATATGAACCTTATGGCGGGACCCCCGGGGTCCCGAATAAACGGAAGTCAAAATCGCAATTAATTTATTTATTTTTGGCGACTCCATCCCACTGCGCACATAAACACCGCGACCCGCACCTGGCGCGGATCATTCTGTTGTCATTGTCGTGTTGTCCAAGCGCAGCAGTGAGGACGAATGTGCAGAAGAGCTGAACAAGCGAATGCACTCCATGCTCGGGTATGGGCAGGATCATAACAAGTCTTATCCAAAGCTGCCCAAGCTGCCTACACAACTCCTTTATTTGTCACAACGGTATGCATAATATTTGTGACCTACCAATGTCTGCAGCCAGGATCAATCGATGACTATCCTATTACCTGCAGATATTTAACAGATGAGATGCGTTGCACCGTTAATTCCTCCTGTTTGATATCACCGTATTTTCCCGCATATAACCCGCGGGGTATACCACTTTTTACAAACAAAACAAGACCCTGCGGGGTATATGGAGGTGCGGGCTATCCCAAAAATATTTTACACGTGTGACATGTCATGACTCGTTTAATTATTTCATGGTAGGACTATCCACTATGCAACACTTACCTTTGACTAAAGCACTGCTGAATAAACCACTCACACTAAAATTGCACGTGTTATCACGTTTTACATTATTACAATTGTTTGTACATTGAAGCGACAATGTTTGAAGTGGGTGCAGTTTCCTGGCGACGGGAGAGCTGGGGAGAGAGGTGGGGGTTTGGGGGGTGGGGCAGCAGGGGGAGAGAGGTGGGGGTTGGGGGTTGGGGCAGCTGGGGGGAGAGAGAGGTGGGGGTTGGGGGTGGGGCAGCTGGGGGGAGAGAGAGGTGGGGGGTTGGGGGCGGGGCGACGGCCTTACTAGCTTGATGCACGAGCTTGATACGCAGTTCTTTATTATTATTATTATCTTTATTATTATTAAAATTTCCCTCCCTTTATTACTGCTAACCCCCGACCGCCTACACATTCCACAAGGAGTGACTAACCCCATATCTGCATTTGTCATCAATATGCTAAATGCCTCTGTTGATATGTAAACTCCTTTGTCAAGGCGCTCTCCTCCTCCCACCCAGCTTAAAATACACTGCCAAGCTTAGCAGTGTTCATTAGGACGCCGTCTTTCCGACAGCTCTGTTCTTCACCTGAGGACGGCTGCTTGCGTTGTGGCCGAAACGTCGTGAGAATTGTATTATATCATGTTTTATTTTTATCATTTTATTGTTTCCCTTCTACGTGACTTTACCGAAAGAACCACGAATATGAATCCCTGCAGTCACGAAAGCTTTAAATCGAAATGCATGCGAGTAGTTTTCAGTTTTAAATGCATAGTTTAACAACACTTGCCACAATCCTTCAAACCCATTGGTGAAAAAGAGCAAAGTTTTTGTTAATATTTATATAACATAATATTTATGCGATAAGGTTCATGTGCTGGATTAAGGTTCTCTATGCCAATGTCATCCCTCTCCATTCTGCGATATATCTATCACAGTCCATCTCACTCATGCAGATTAGCAGAGCCGATGGCTCCGTACTCACAGTGGTGGTTCTCTTTCACACAGTCTCTCCTTTGACTGACGTTTCATCGCCAGTCTCATTAGCCATCATCTCATTTTGATGATGTGTTCTGCCTACACGCAGTTTCTCTTTATAGCCAACGAGCTTGTTAGCCCGTCCTAGGATGGAAACTGTAATATTAAAGATGTAAATTAACGTTTAATTGTGTGATTGTTACATTTTATTAAGAAATGCAGCACACAAATACAATTTTATTAACTTATTAAATGATATTCTTGGTTCTTTCGGTAAAGTCACCACGTAGAAGGGAAACAATAAAATAATAAAAATATAAAACAATAAAATTCTCACGACGTTTCGACTGCAACACAAGCAATCATCATCAGGAACCAAGAATATGAATCCCTGCAGTCACAACAAAAGCTTTAAATCAAAATTATTAAATGCTATTAAGGACTTTGGAAAATATTCTTAGTTCTTTCGGTAAAGTCACGTTGAAGGGAAACAACAAAATATATATATAAAACAATAAAAATTCTCACGACGTTTCGACCATAACACAACCTGAAGACGACCGTTTGTGTTATGGTCGAAACGTCGTGAGAATTTTTATTGTTATATATATTTTATTATTTTGTTGTTTCCCTTCAACGTGACTTTACCGAAAGAACTAAGAATATGAATTACTGCAGTCACGAAAGCTTTAAATCAAGACTTTGGAAGAGTTCTCGGTATACGACATTTTGTGTGAATCTCTTATCACCGTTCAAAAGGTTTTTTCCCTGCAGTTGGCTCTCCTTGATGAACACTTTGATCCGCTGAGGATATTTTGATCTAGACAGACAAGAGCCACGGGAACAAAAATACGTGTCCATTGAGATAAATGCCCACGTTTTAAACAGTCTGACCCTGCGGCTTGTTGATCTTCATCGCATGCGTAGGAATTACGGGAATTTCAGTACCAAAGGAAGAGTGACATCACTTGGGGCGAGGTCGAGTCTCGGGATGAAGACGATTTCGCCTCGGTTGCAAAGGCGAACAGCAATCTCTGTGGCTGTTTAATTTAAAAAAGAAAGAACAAACCCCGTAACTTCACCATAGCACTGTTTTCAAATCACCTGAAGTTGTTAACTGGCAAATGCATCTTCACCGATGGACGCTTGATAGCGAACAGTGAATAAATTATAGTGCTGATACTGTCTGAAGTAACTTAGCAAATATAACGAAGACCAAAGAGAAGCATTAGAGTTACGAATAAATTGATCAGAGTCTAATTTTACATCTTGACTAAATGTAATGGGCAGGGAATATTGAAATATAGAATGTTAGCAAACACGTCACTGCATTTCACTGGGGCACTGAATTAATGGCAGTGGTTGTTGCACGCAACTAAGCCATAAAAAAAACACCTGAAGTAATGTCACAGTATGTAACGCACGTTTAATTACTTGCAATTCACTGCTCTGATACTTGCTGATCTTTCGCTCGCTGGGGTTGAAGACAATTGGGAGTTCGATACCTCTGCAAAGTAGCAGAGAAATGTTTATTGTAGCATAATTCGGAAGCGTAAATTAGGCTTACCTTTTGTAGGACGTGTCGAAAAAATAAATAAATAAAGGCACCCAAATGCGCCGCGATGCGGCGTAGAATTATTTATTGCCTTCACTTTCCATAAAGATACGTAGAATCGAAAGCGAATTTGAGTAAAAATAATTTATCATAGCCGCTCGACCTTCCTCCGCGTTAGTCGACAAAAGCAGGCACACGTGAATACTAATGAGGGGGGCGGGGCGCATGTGGAGTGACGTCACGTGCGGGATACGCACACACACACGCTCAGTTATATTAGTTGCTGCGTTTATTTCTTTATTAGCTTTACTTTCCACAAAGGTACGATTGAAAGCTAATTTGCGTTTGAAAAAAAAGTCGTTTCCGCTCCACGTTCTTCATGCGGAGTGACGTCACCCGTTCATGATTATTAATGACGGGGGTCCATGTAGAGGACCCCACCTGTTCATGATTATTAATTAGGGGGGGTCCATGTAGAGGACCCCACCTGTTCATGATTATTAATTAGGGGGGGGGGATCCATGTAGAGGACCCCACCTGTTCATGATTATTAATTAGGGGGGGGTCCATGTAGAGGACCCCACCTGTTCATGATTATTAATTAGGGGGGGGTCCATGTAGAGGACCCCACCTGTTCATGATTATTAATTAGGGGGGGGGGTCAATGTAGAGGACCCCACCTGTTCATGATGATTAATTAGGGAGGGTCCATGTAGAGGACCCCCCCACCTGTTCATGATTATTAATTAGGGGGGTCCATGTAGAGGACCCACCTGTTCATGATTATTAATTAGGGGGGTCCATGTAGAGGACCCCACCTGTTCATGATTAGTAATTAGGGGGGGGGGGTCCATGTAGAGGACCCCCCCACCTGTTCATGATTATTAATTAGGGGGGTCCATGTAGAGGACCCACCTGTTCATGATTATTAATTAGGGGGGGTCCATGTAGAGGACCCCACCTGTTCATGATTAGTAATTAGGGGGGGGGGTCCATGTAGAGGACCCCACCTGTTCATGATTATTAATTAGGGGGGCTGGTCGACGTGGAGTGACGTCACACGTGTTACACACAGACATTCTTGAAGTAGTAAATTCTGTCCAACGTTCATTGGCTCTGGCGAACTCTTTATCTTTGTTTTATTTTTCGATTTAAAGCTTTCGTGACTGCAATGATTCATCTTCTTTGGTTCTTTCGGTAAAGTCACGTAGAATGAGAATAAAATAATAAATTGATAAAATAAAATAACACAATAATATTCTCACGACGTTTCGGCCACAACACAAGCGGCCTTCATCAGGTGAAGGGGGCGAGACTGTCTGGTAGGACAGCGCTGTGTTATTTTATTTTATCAATTTATTATTTTATTCTTTATCTTTGCTTCATTTCTGTTTGCAAACGCTGTTTCTTAGCTGCAGTATCTCCGTCCTGAACGATGGTGGGCTATCCTGGACTGACGTATTTAGATCTTATGACACTAAATGTGTGCCACCAGCTGGAACAATGCGAATAAGTTTGGCTCTCGTGCTTTAGACACTGTAAATGGGCAGTGTGATAGCCAGAGGCGCCAAAGTTTGCTAAAAAAAAAGTGCAAAAGATAGCAAAACATTTTTGAGCAGGTAAACTTCTGTATCTTGTGCAGTTGTGAAAGGCAACCAATGTCGCTCACAAAAAAAATTGATGGAAAACAACACTTCACTGTAGCACTGGTTTAAGTGAACTGAAGCTTTGAACTGACAATTTTTTCTTCCCCGATGGACAATTGCAAGGGTTAAGGCTGCTGATACTGCCAGTGGTAACTTTGCAATTATTAAAGGCCAAACAGAACCATTTTAGGTTCAAAATAATTGACCAGAGTATAATTGTAGCTTGTGTTATTATAATGGCAGTGAAATTGCGTAAAAGTATGTAAGCAAACATTTGGCAGTATTTCACTGTAGCACTGTATTAATGGCAGTGAAGCTTGCACAAAGCTACGTGATAACAAAAGTTTACTTGATGGCACTGTAGCACTGTTTAAGATTAACCTTTAAATTTATAAAATTGACTGCTCTGATCCGTTATTATCTTCTGCTTTAGCTCGCTGGGGTAGAAGGTTGCCTTGCGCGTTTGAGACACTGTTCATGGGCAGTGTGATCGACAGAGGCACTAAATTTAGCATAAAAAGAGCAAAAAGAAGCATGCAAATTGGTGACTGTTTTGACCAGGGACTGTTCTGTATATTGTGCACGTGTCAAAGGCAAGCAGTCTCAGTCACTTCGTAATTGTAACAAACATTAGACTTCACTTTAGCGCTGTTTTCAACTCACCTGCAGCTTTGAACTGACAAAATGTTCTTCCCCGAAGGACGATTGATAGTGACGAGTGAAGAAAGTAGGCTGCTAATAGTGTCAGAATTAACTTTGCAAATGAGCATTAAAGGTCGGACAAAATTGACCAGAGTACAATTGTACGTTGGTAATTAAATGGCAGTGAATTTAGCACAAAAGTATGTCATAAAGCACCTCACTGCATTTCACTATAGCACTGTATGAATGGCATTTATTCTAGCGTAAAACTATGGCATAAAACAGCAGCTCACTTAATGTCACTGTAGCACTGCATCTAAGTGACCTTCAATTTGTTCAAATTAACGGCTCCGATACCTTGTTATCTTCTTCTGTCGCTCGCTGGGCTCTAAATAAATGTGAATTAGATGCACTATATGGAAAAAAACATTTTTTTTCCCAGAATAATTTAGAAGCATAAATGAGACTTACCTGTAGTTTCAAGAGCGGAAGAAATAAGTTAAGAAAAATAATGCACTGTAATGCTGCGTAGAAATATTTATTTCCCTCACTGTCTATCAAGAGACGTCAAATTTGGAACGCATTTGCGTAAACGTTTTTTTAATTCCCACGCGACTATCATGTGCGTTATTGTAAATTTCCACTGGGGCATGAATATTAATGAAGGTGGGGGGGGGGGCCTCATATGCAGTGACGTCACGCACGGATTTAGCACTTAGCTGCATAGATTTATATATTTTCGTTATTTTCTATAAAGAAACGTCACATTTGAAGCGACTTTGCGTAATCAATTATTTATTTCAGCTCGACCTTCCCTTGCGTTAGTGTAAAAATTCACCCACTCATGAATATTAATGAGGGGGGTTGGCCTCATGTGGAGTGACGTCACACACGGGACACACATACATTCTTGGCTCATTATAGTAGTAAATATAATTAATCTTATTTGTGTTTGTTTTCTGATCCGTGTAATCCGATTTCGGCCTTTCAGGCTACTCCCATGCATGTATCTCTCCAAGTTTATTTGAGTACTTTTAATCTTCTTTTCTTTGTTGTATCATAGTCATGTAATCTCAGTCTATCTGCTCCATCTCTATAAACGGTTTTGATAATTTTAATAAATGTTTAGTGAGGGCATCGCTGTGAGTGCTTGAGTGCATTTTTCGAGACTATTTTAATGTATATGTAGATATTCCATTTTTTTCTGAACAAAAAAATGAACTTATGGAATTAAATAAAAGAAGACGTGATTATGCAAAGTGACATGCCCAGAAGCAGAACGTTGTCTCTGCAGACTGGTTATGCTCTCCCAACAGTGCCTTGGACCAAACCCAGCATTTAAGAGCATTTCTGTATTCCATTACACATTTCAATCTTGTGGTGAAAAATGAGCAAACTCCTGGAACTGTATACAACATAAAAAAATGATCATACATAAATAGTATATTCAAGCCATGCATATATCTCTTTTTTTGGCAAGAAAGCAGTGCGGTATGCCGTGATCTAGCTGGTGACATGGGGTGGGGAGAGGGCAGGGAATTCTTCCGAATACGCCAGCACTTCTGTGGTATCACAGTTGTAAATTCCTGCTCTCACCCAACCAAATAGTATTTATAGGCGTTTTAGATAATTGTGTTTCCAAATAACTGTCCGCTCTGGACAGATTGATTGTACGCAGGCCTAGGTTGTAAATAAAGGTTGCACAGGGCAGTATAGGCCCAACTTGTTACAGAGATGGATAGCGTTTACAGAAAATTAACCTGTAACCCTCCGCCCTCCACCTGCCTCTTCCTCTTTTTGAAAGGATTGGAATGTGTTCACACACCCCTGAAATGTTGAGGAGGAAAAGCAATTTCTGATCTGTAATGGCTTGCGAATAGGGCTTCTGTCTGTAGCAATTGCAAACTGGCAGAGAGATGGTCATATAAAAACAAATACCCATCACTGTCAGTGCCAGCGGAGTGCAAATGACCAGCACGGGCAGTGCACATTGGAGCATTAAACACGCGTTTAAGGGGGTGCTGACTGTTTATAACCTGGGAGGTTACATTTTAGAGAAATGTACAAATTCCACCAAATCTTAAAAGGGTAGTTGTAACCCAAAGTCAAACTGATTTTCTGCTCAAATGAGCATTCCGATATTGGTCATCTCCTGCTACAACCCTGACAAAGTTGTGGAAACTTTATATTCCGATAACGGGGGCCAATATTTTCATAGAACAACCACGGTTGACTTGCCCACACGGTGTGGCACTCCTTTAATGGACCCCTGAGGGATGAAGGGCTGAGTCAACCTCCAACCAGGATTTGAATTCATGAACTTCCCATCGCGAGCCGCTTGCTCTGCCACTGGGCCACCTTGTCCTCTAACTCTTCAGACCGAGACATGATTGGGTGAATCATCATTTAAAGTTCAA